CTTAATATATGTTTGGGCCCAGGGTCAGATATGAAGATAGGATAATGTGGTTGGTGAACTGTGTTGGTTTTTTTTTCTTTTTCTTCGTATTTTTTGTTTTTCCCTCAGCTGTGTTTGTTTATGCTTTAATGCTCTCTGAAATTTGGGAAAGTTGATCTATATCGAGGTCTGAACCCTTGTCCTCAAAGGGGGGAGGGTGTGGGGTAGTTTAATAATAATAATAATAAAAAAAAGAATTAAAAAAAAAAGAAGACAGGTATCTAGTTGTCTCTTGTGGTCCGAGAGGCATCTGGTAGGGCCACTGTGAGATACAGGAAGCTGGACTAGATGGCCTGATCCAGCAGGGCTCTTATGTTCTTATGCAAAGGAGTAGTGTAGACACTGAACACCATGTTGAGTCCCAACCTAGAATAGAAATTAATTATAGATGTAATATAATAGTAGGCAGTGGAAGACAGGAGGGCCTGGCATGCTCTGGTCCATGGGGTCACAAAGAGTCGGACTCGACTAAACAACAACAACAACAATACAATAGTGCCCAGATAGAACTGATGCCAACATATGTTTTGAAACGTTATCTCCTATGATACTGATATCCTAAAGTAGTTATTTCAGCTCTGATGCACTGCTGTTAAAATGAAATATTCTACATTACAAGACAGATTACACAGCAAAGTATTAAATAAAATTCCTTCCAATTGTAATCTTTATCTATTATGACCTCATACTCTGGAATCAATGCCCTTGTCAATATCATCTTTTAGTTACATGCCAGAGACAGGACAGTTGCTGAAAAGGGTTAATAATAACAGCAGCTAACCAGGGAACACCTCACAAATATAACCAATTGTTTTCTGAAAGCAAGCATCCAAGCTGTGCCGGTTGCCCCTGGCAACCAGGAATTCCATGTAGGTGAGTGAGGAGGTTAGTGAAAGAGGGACAGAGCATTCATCTTTGTCCAATCCGCAACTGCTTCTGGGCTGCCTGTGGAGGAAGGGCTTTGCCTCCCTCATCAGGATGATGGGGGCCAAGGAGAAACAGAGGGCCATTCCTCTTCTTCTCCACTCCTCCCCCATGTTCTCATGCTGGACTCAAAATAAGCAAAGCTCCTTCTTCCATGACCAGGAGAAACACAGCAATCTGCTTCTCTCTTCCCACCCCACTGCATTCCCCCCTTTTAACTTTAAAGCACAAGAAAGCCCCTCATAAGACTAAAAAAAATCAGCAAGTGAAAATAGGTATGCATGGTAGCAACTTTTGTCATAAGGCTAATTTAATCCTATCACAATAGCAGGTTTCAAAATCTGAAATAGAAATGTCCCACCACTAGAGTAAGCAACTGCAGCACACTACATTTTAGGGTGTGTATGTGTTTGTGTGTGTGTGTTCTAGACTGCAATTTCCATAATCTCTCACTACTGTCTATGCTGACCAGGAATGACAGGAGATGTAGATCATAAAGATCTGAAAGGCCTCAAATATCCACCCTTGATATTGAGGGAAAACAAGGCTCACTTCAGATCTTTATTATCATCTCTCCCAATGTGGAAATTAAGCTGTGTGGTGGGGAAAGCATATATGAAGAGCAACCAGGAGCATTTGGGCTCCAAACCACCGGTTCTGATGAGTACTTTTAAAAAGTACACAAACTCTCCTTGTGTATTTTCAAAGAGCAATTAATACATTTCCAGTTTTTAACATAGTCAAGATATGATGTGGGAAACAAGGGGAGGGCAAGGAGACTTGCTGAATTTTTTTGAGTTCATGGAATCCACAGGTTCAGATGGCTTCAAAAGTATGTTAGACAAAAAACATGGAGCATAGATCTAGCCATCACCATGATGGTGTAAGCCAGTGGTTTCCATCCTTATGTCCCCAGATGCCCCTGGACTGCAACTCCCAGAAATCCTGATCAGCACAGCTCGTGGTGAAGGCATCTGGGAGTTGTACTCCAAGAACACCTGGGGATCCAAGGCTAGGAACCACTTGTCTAAGCTAAAGGCTTAGATTGAGAGGCAGCATCCTACAGTCTCTACATACCAGGGGTGGGGAGCACAGGCCTCTAGACTTTTTTGCATGACCTTTGCTATTGAGCAGACTGAGTGAGTCTGATGTGAGCTCTAGGCCAAGACACTGGAAGGCCAGAGTTCTCCACCAATGACTTGTATTAGACCACCCACTGTCCGAGAATGAGTGCCAAAACAGTGCCATCCATGCTCAAAGGCAGATTAACAATAAGTAGAAAGAGACCTCAAACAATTCGTTGTACACAAAGATATTTAGGAAACAAGAGCCCTAAAGGGTGAGGGAAAATTCCGTGGAGGGGAAGGAGAATGCTGAAAAAGCAAGGGAATACTAACTGGCTGCCAGGAAGGGGAAAATACTGAAGCAATGGAGTATAGTAGAAAAGGGCACAACTTGTTGACAGCCCTCAGGAGTACTCTCTGCTACAGCACTTCGTGGTACCTCTGAGTCCAGTAGCTTGGCAGTAGCAATGGAGAACAAGAGAAAGAAGGTACTGTAATCATACTCCATGATTAGGCTTTCACTGGTACCTGGTTGGCCATCATCAAGGGGGAAAAAACCAACAGGATTTTGGCCAACATCATGGTGAACACCTTTAGTCCCTCACTGTTTGCTGTGTACTCTTAATTCCCATTAACCCTGCCCAACCATGCCAATCTTGAGATAGGAGGTGCAGCCTAAGAACATCTAGATGATCACAGTTACTCAATCTTGGATACAGTCCTTACTAGGGATGGGGTAGCAGAAGGGCAAGCTGTCTTTAAACAGTGGAGTACACACTTGGAATATCAAAGGATTCCAGCTGATCTCTCCTGTTAAAAAGACCTGGTAGGTGAGGGGTGGGAAATTTTGGGCCCTCCAGATGTTTTGCCCTGAAACTCCCCATCAGCCCCATCTAACATGGTCAACTGTGAGGGACTGTGTGAGTTACCAGATCAACCACCTGGAAGGTCCAAAGGAGATGCAGTAGGTGAAAGGAAAGAACATTCTGCCCGAGACACTGGAGAACTGAGTAGAAATATTAGCAGGATTTGGGAAATTAACTTCCTACCTATTTGTGGGGAAAGGCAGCTTTCCACTGGTATCTGGAATGAACACTGGGGAATGGTAGCTTCCTACCTATGTCCTTAACCTTTGTTTCTCCGCTGGAAGATATTTATCCCAGAGTGGGCATTATCTTTTCTCACTGAACATCTCCTTTGTATATCAAATAACATCTCAAAAGCCTCTGGATACATTTTCTCCATTTCCATTCTTTACTAGTTTTCTTCCAGCAGTTCAGCCACCGTTAAAAACATAACATGATAAAACAAGGCATAGTTTTACTTTAAGAAAGAAAGAAAGAAACATTTCTCCCTTACTACGAAAAAAAAATTAATAATAAAAATAAAAAGAATTTCCAAGCTCCTGTACATCTCCCTAGACATTTTGCTACAGACTGCACTGTTTTCTTCTTCCCTTGTAAAGGGAGTTTTCCCCAGCACATAAAGACTTTGTTGCACCATTAAAAGTGGCACGTTGCTTCTTTTGCATAAAGCAGCGCGAAAAACAGTTCATTGAAATAAGTTCATCAGAAGTAAGCTCATCTTCTACTGCACAGCGACTTGCATAGGCCCAAACGCAGTGAACGGCCCTTTTAGCAGTTTTAGCCCTGGCATCATCTAGAGTGAACCACAAGGGTGGACAACTTCCAACCCCACCAACAGAGCACCTTCTGTAAATGTGGAGATGATATTTGTATTACAGTTCACCGTTGCAGCAAGAGTCGCAAGGCAAGGAAGGAATTTTTGCACTGAAGACTGTCAGGCTTGATTTTGGTATTGTCATACAAGAATCCATGTCTGAGTTTAGAAACATCCCAGCACTTGGGAGGCTGAAGGTGCAGGAGGGTGAGAACAGAGACGTTTCTCTCCAGTGATGGGGTAGGTGTGGCACAGGTAGCTCCAGGCTAGTGTTAACCACTACCACCACCACCACCACCACTCAACACACACACACACACACACTTTAGCAACAGGCTCCCGAGTAGATCAATTGAGTTGGAACCGGCTCAGAGGTTGTGTCCATTTCCTCGTCCCCCCAGAAATAGGTGACTAAATTGTCAGAATCCAGAATGGTGGCAGGCATGCTGTTTGCTTTAACAGGGTTAAAGGGCACCCCAGGGTGGGCTTTGTAGTGGTGCCGGGCCAGGTGGCTCCTCTGCACGTAGCCCTTCTCGCAGTGGGAACACATGTAGGGCCTCTCTGCCTGGTGGAGCATCTGGTGCCGAGTCAGCGTGGACTTGACGGCGAAGTTTTTCCCGCAGATGTCACAGTGGTAGGGCTTCTCCACCATGTGGATCCTTTCGTGCCTGTACAGCTTGGACATGGAGCAGTAGCCCTCCCCACACATCACACACTTGTAGGGCTTTTCCCCCCGGTGAACCCGCAGGTGCCGGTTGAGGCTTCCACTGTGAGTAAAGGCCTCTCCACAATCGGGGCACTGGTAGGACTTCACCACCACCGGAGGGACCAGGTAAGGAAAGGGGACTGGGTAAGGGTAAGGATAGCTTTCCTCCCACAGGTCATTTTTATACGGGCTCTCCTCCTGGTGGCTCCTCTGGTGCCGTGTGACACTCGTGCTCCGGGTGAAGCTTTGCCCACAGTCAGGGCATTTGTAGGGCTTCTCCCCTGTGTGGGTCATCTGATGGGTAAGGAGGTTGAGGTTCAGGCTGAAGCTCCGCCCACAGTCCATACACGAGTAGGGCTTCTCCCCGGTGTGGGTCCTCCAGTGCCGTGTCAGGGTTGACTTGCGGTTGAAAATCCGCCCGCATTCAGCACAAGGGTACACCCTCCCTTCGGAGCAGAATTGCTGCTGGAATGAAGCTTCAAAGACATCTCCCAGGCTGTCAATGGAGGTATCCCAATCCTCTTTTGGACAGTCTCCATGAAACATGGCTGGTTTGAATGGGCTTTCCCAGATGGGGTAGTCCTCGGGACCCTGGGAGAGGCTCCCTTCTTCTGGGTCGTCAAAGATGGTAAAATGGAGTTCTACCTGCTGGTCAGAACTTTCTTGCGGGAGCTCGTCCCTTTTCGATTCTCCTTCTGGCCTGTCCTCCACGGGTGGGGGAAGGTTGGTTGGTGCTTCCGAGGGTTGCAGGAATTTCTCATTCCATTGAACAGGCCGGTCCCATTGATGCTTTTGGTAGCCGACCTCGGCTGAATCGTCCAGTCTCACATCGCTTGCGCAGAGCTTCCCCTCGGAGATGCCTCCTTCCGACTCCTCCAAGATGGTAAAATGGAGCTCCACCTGTTGCTCGGGACGTTGTGGAGAATAGGGTCCCACCCTCTGCTCTCCAGCGCTCTCCTCATCAGCTTCTGGGAGGATTTCCTGAACGTCTGGGGAAGGAGGCTGTGAGAGATCAGAGCAAACCAAGTCATCGTCCAGTTCGGGCCGACAAGAACTCTCTGGCTGGAGCTCGGCATCAATCTCGCAGGGCCAAAGTTTCCCCTGAGAAATGCCTCCTTCCGATTCCTCCAAGATGGTAAAGTGCAATTCCACTTGGGGCTCAAAGTCCTCCTCCAGCTCCTGGAAAGTCTTCCCTTTTGGGTCCTTCATTGTTCCATTCCCTACTAAGATAATAATAATAACAGTAATAATGAGAAAAAGCTCTTTAGAAAACATTCAGGATGATGACAGGCACTGCCACCTGCCTACACTCCATCCCTTACTAGGTTAGTAGGGAGCCCCTTTCAACTCGAGGGCTGAACTCAGTTTTGGTAAGGTCCTCAGTGGCCACATTCCAGTGGTGGGGAGGTCCAAAGGCAAACAGGTAGAAACCCCCACCCAACCCCAAAAATCAAAAATACCAGAACATTATAATTGAATGCTCTTACTGCCAATAACTAATAGAGATAGGATTTTTGCAATTAAAGAACATTTACACTCATAATTTGGCAATTAACTCCCCAGGCTGAGTAACAGAAGTAAAACCAGCAGGAAACAGAGCAGACTTCTAACCTCCCTGCCATTTTCCTGCTGTTTCTGTGAAGTTGGAAGGAAAGTGCCCTGCTGCAGTGTGTGAGTCACAAAATGTTCCTGCAATTCACAAAGGTTCATCATCATCATCATCATCATCAAGTTCCCTGCAATTCACAAAGGTTCATCATCGTCATCATCATCTTGGAACTGCAGAGCCAGAAGGGGCCCTATGGATCACTGATTCCAGCCCCCATCAAAGAGGCAGAGTGGGGAATCAAACTCCCAACCTTTGACTCTGCAGCCCAAGACCTAAACCACTTAGCTATCCAGCAGTTCCTAGGGCAGGCAAGTTCTGATGGAGGCAGCCCCCACCAGAACCAGCCCTGACATCCAGCGTAGCTAGGCATTTTTCTTCCGGCTCAACAGAAATGGCCCAGGAAAGAGGGCTGCTTGACCCCCTGCTGATCTGAGGGCTTTTTTCCCCTCCCATAATTCAGCCTGGAAGGTTCTCAGTGATTTATTCTTCAATTCTGAAAACCCCATCCCTAATTATTCCCCCACACAGAGTATGTTACATCTTTATGTCATCCCACTGAATCAAGAGCAAGCAACTTTGGGCACTCCAAATGTTTCCAATCCCATTGGCCTTAGCTGGGCTCAGGGGTGGGGGCAGGCATGATGCAACTGGCAATCAATAGCTGGAGGGATACAATCCTGCACTGAAGTGATTACATGAGTTGATAACTGTTGGGATTCAAGACCCAGCCACTGTATGGTGGGCAGCCAGAGACAATAATGGTATGATTGCTCTGGCACACACACATAAGCCAACTTTTCTGTTCCTGAAATTTCTGAGCATCATAATGAGGTACAATCAACACAGTCCTAATCTCAACCTGGTCTGTCTGGATGATGATCCAGACACACAGAAGGGCTGGCCAACAATGTTTTGCTGCTTGATGGATAAAAGCAAGTGCTGTTCCTCCCCATAAGGTCACGGTAGGTAGTTCCGAAGGCCAACCAAATAATTTTGGAACCTGAAGCAGACAGTCCTTCAAGAACTATCTCCTTGACAGTTAAAATGCAGCAATGATAAATGAAGCCCTTTAAAAAATGCAAAAAGACAACAGCAGCAACAAACCAACCAACCCAGAAATATTATGTCTAAAGGATTGCAATCCGCAATATTGAAATAAAGCTGTTAGGCTTAAAGGTGGCACAAAACTCCTATTTTGACCCCCTTTCATTTTGTTTTTGTTGAAATAGACTGACACGGCTACCTCTCTGAATGCAAATAAATAGGAGGCAGCAGCATCATACTGTGCACAGTAGGACCTCTGTATTTGTGGGGGACCAGTTTCATGATCTACTGTGGATGCCTGAAGCTGTGGATATGAGGGGACATATAAGGGGGCAGGATAAAGGGGTACCCTTGTATGTTGTCTATAGGGCTGCAGCAAACCATAGATAAGTGAAACCACTGTACCAGTCCCGCAGATACAAGTGTCCTACTGTAATCACAGAGTTGTCTCAAGACATGTTGGAGAATCTGGGGACAGTGAGAAGGCACCTCAAATAACCCATCCCTTGCATATACCGGGAGTGGGCTGGGGAGCACATGCCGGCTTAAGGACAGAGACTGAAAATGAAGTTGGGACTATACGGTTGCCTTAAATAAATCTACTGTAGTTCTGCTTTCAGGCAATTGTGTACCATTCTGGCCAGCCATTTCAGAAAGGATAGCAGAAAGCTTAGGAAAATGCAGGAGGTAGGGAAGCCTTTTCAATTGAAGGACTGCATTAAATTCCCCCACTCTTTTTTTGGACAAATCTCTCAAGACACATGGCTGCTGAGGGCTTCTGGAAGTTGAAGTCAAAGAAAATATTTTCCCCCTAAGCTCTTGTTTTACAGAAGTCACCAAGACAGGGACCATGTGTCATTTGAACCATCTCTTACCTCTAAAGGTTCACGTTCCTGATCGATTTACTCTGAATTGTTTCACTGGTGTTCATGGTACTATTTCAAACTCAGCGTGTTTCAACTTAAGACACTCTCTTTCAGTTAACCTCCTTCCTCCCAACATAACCCAACTTGTCATGCAAAAGATAACACTGGAACCTGCTTTCTGGAGCTTGTCTATTTTCTCCTCGGAGCAAAACTTCTGGGACGTCACAACCTCATAAACATATGCACAAAACAGCGCAAATAGCCAATTCTGTAACCTTTGATTAAACAGGCGTTTATCAAACCATCCAGCTTGGGAAACAACTATGTATTTGTGTACACAACTATAACTTTAATTCATGTAATCCACAGGCTGTCCAGGGCAAGCAGAGAGTGAAGAGCTCACTCAAATAGGCCCTAAAAATGACAATAACCATTTGCATTGTCAACACACACTACTATGCTTCACAATCTGTCTTCTGGGGGGATTTTGGGTGGAGGGAAAACAGAACTAAGCATCTAAGCCATTCTCAACATTTTTTGGCCATAAACATTACATGAAAAGAAATATAGGCTGAATCAGGACTGTATAAGTCACAAAACAAGCTTTATGGTGGTGTGAAGAATTGTTTCCAGTCTATGGGCCCCATCAAATGAGCCAGGTTCCCCCGCCCAGGGGGGATATATGGCTCCTGTTGACATGGCTGGTCCAGAGCATGGTTTTGCATTGCTTAGAAACTCAGTGTTTACTTTTGGAGGAAAATCTCCCAAGTGTCATAGTTATGGATGCAAGGCAAGACTTGTAAGGCACGTGGCAGGATCCAAGTGGCCATTAGCCTCCCTTCTTTGGCCTACTGAGGTTGGGCAAAATAATTCTGCAAAAACAAAGCAAAAAAACCCCTGTGCTTCATTATCCACCAGAAAAAAAGTATTTTTAAAGTTTCATTAATTGATAAAAACAAATGAATGACTGTACAGCATTAGGGAAAGATGGCAGCTTCAAAATTGTAATTAATGTTTTTCAGAAAACTACCCTAGGAATTATATATAAGAGTATATTATTTGTAAAGCATGTGATAATAAAATAGAGCCATGAATGCACATAATGACCTAAACCAAAATCAAATTGCAGGGTCAGAAGACCAAGCAGTCGTAAGATCGAATCCACGCAACGGAGTGAGCGCCCGTCGCTTGTCCCAGCTCCCGCCAACCTAGCGGTTCGAAAGCATGCAAATGCGAGTAGATTAATAGGAACCACCCTGGTGGGAAGGTAACAGCGTTCCGTGTCTAAGTCGCACTGGCCATGTGACCACGGAAGATTGTCTTCTGACAAAACGCTGGCTCTATGGCTTGGAGACGGGGATGAGCACCGCTCCCTAGAGTCGAACACGACTGGACAAAAATTGTCAAGGGGAACCTTTACCTTTACCTTTACCTAGAAAACTACCCTAGGAATTATACATGAGAGTATATTATTTGTAAAGCATGTGATGATAAAAGAGCCATGAACGCACATAATGACCTAAACCAAAATCAAATTTCTCCATGCAGCTAAACATAAAACCAAAATAACTAAAGATGGATGACTAGAGATGGACATGAAGTGCTTCATTGTACTTTGCACAAAGCATGCCACTCTCACCTCCAACACTGGCTTGCTGGCTTACTCACCATCCGCAAAGACTCGCAGTCCTTCTCTGATAGCACGCCAGTCCAGGCTGCCCTTCCCTACCTCCTCAGGCAACAGACCACTCATCCACTGTGTGGGGATAATCCCATCCTGCCTCTTGTCAGAGTGGTCGGTGGCCTGAGGAGGTGGAGAAGGACAGCCTGGGCTCGTGAATGGAGTGGTGTGCCACTGGGGAAGGAGTCCCTGGCGGGGCATGAAGAATGGTGAATGGGCCAGCTGGACAGAGAGGGTGGGAGATGGTGCTGCATGGCACACTTCGTACGAAGCGTGACAAAGTGCTCTGTGCCCATCTCAGCTGTGACTAAATGTCTGTGTCACTTCCAACACATAGAACAGCATCTCTGTATTTTCTTTCCCCCTTGGAGCTTGAAAAACTGGAATTATATTCTCTACCCAGATCTGTTATGCATTTCTCATTAAGCCGAAGCGATCATCATAATTTCCACATAAAGTTTTGGACTTGTTTTAGTAAAATACTTTAAAACCACACCCCACTAGGTGCTCAATTCCCTGCCCTCCAATTAAATATATCAGTCCAAATACCGTAATTCTGGGTTGTTGAAGCATTAAAAAGTGTTGTTTAGTAAATATAAATCAAACAAACATGCTAAGCTAGGCAACTATCTATTTAATGTAGTGGAAAATGTTCACATTCAAGATTTCCCAGAAACCCCACATCAGTACCATCGAATCTAAGGAGGCTGCCTGCAATTATTTGAGACCTGAGGCAACTTTATGCAACTTCCTTCCATCAGGGCACCACAAACTTCCTTGTTTCATTTAACCCTCTCACATTCCTTACATAACTGAACTACCTCCAGGCATTGTTTCCACATCCCGGGTTCAGGAATGACTAGATTGCCAGTTTCTTTTTCTTTTCTTTTCTTTTTTTTTTGGTCTCTTTTTTAAAAAAGACTACAACTCCCTATTTCTCTGGGCTAGGACTGTTTGGAGCTGAAGTCCAAAACAACATCAAGCCCTTATCCCTTCTATACAAAGGACAGGGCCTCCCAATCCTCGCCCTGTAACCTGTGCATCCTCCAGAGGAATGAAGAGGCCTCACTTAGCAAGACAAAGAGAGGGGAGAGGAGAGAAGAATCAGAGCCTCAAAAAAGTATTTATGGGATTACAGTACCCAGAATCCCCAGCAAGCATGACTGTGCTAGCAGGAGGGGGGGGGAATTCTGAGAAATTCTGTAGTGGAAAAGGAACTTCTCTGCCCTTTGCAAAAATATGTAGCCTTTCATAATCAACACTCTTCCATGCAAGCACAGATAGAAGAGATGGTGTTGGGCCTGAAAGAAAAACACTCCTGGGAATAGCAACCCGATGGCTTAAACTCGTTTGCAAGTAAATGTAATATACATCTTGTAAACCTTGGTGACATCTTCCTGTGTGTTGCTATTAAAGTCATCTGCTTCCCCCCCCCAACTCCCAGACTTCCGGCAGCGGCATAGCAAAGGCGTTACACTTGTATCATGCTTAGCCACCGTGGGAATTGCTTTCTAAATGTCTCTGGGCCTCTTGAGAAAGCAGCATCCACACACAGAACAAGATTCCCCTTTCTGTAACCCTGACTTTTCAGGAGAAAATCCACTGCAAAGAAAAAGAGCTCATTAAGTCAGTCCTCCTGAACTCCCAGGAGCAGCAAACTCCATCCCGCTTCTGTTCATACCCTTCCAGAAGACTGGATGGCCACTATGGCCTAGTGGTTAGAGTGCTGGGATGAGACCCAGAGAATCACAGCTATAAACTCGGATTGGTTCAAGCCTCCGCTTGACCTACCTCACTAGGTTGTTGTTGAGAGAACACAGGGAGGGAGGGAGCAAGAAGCTTACTGGAGAAGAACTGGGATGTAAAGATAACTGATACAGTAAGTAAGAAAGACACTCTGCTCCAGCCTATTATTCTTTCAAAGGGAAACCCGACTGGTTTTTTTCCCCCCTCCAGACAGGAATACCTTCCTCCTCTCACCTCTTGAATTCAAACGGGCTATTTTGTGCGTGAAGCATCGCTTTGAGCCGGGCATTGGAAAGAGCCAGCCTGGGTAGCCTTGGGCAAGCTGCACAGTCCCTGGGCGAAACCCCTGAAGAAGGGAATGCTCAACCGCTTCCATATACAGTATTCCCTACCTGGGAAACCCCGGGTGAACGTGCCCATAAGTCAGAACGGACTTGACGGCACGTGATGATGATGATGATTTGAAAACTAGCACAAGCCAGAGACCTACAGCCATGCCAGGAGGAGACCCGCCAGGCCTCCCTCTCCCGCTGCCCTTCTTCCAAAGCACAAGGAGGAAGAGAAGCAGGCAAGCCCAGCTCTCGGAGCCGAGCCAGGACATGCGGGGTCGGGGCCGCATCGGAGGGCTTTTCCTCCTCCCCTCCGCTTTCCCGTCCCTATATTTGCACATCCTTCCCTCCCTCCCTCTCTCTACCGGGCCCTTCCTTTCCTCCCCGCCCTGGCTCTCTCTCTCTCTCTCCCCCCCCCCTTCGAGAGCGGGGCGACTGGCTTGGCCGGGCGGGCTGAATTGGGGGGGGGGGCGACTCCGAAACGCCCCAGGGTGCCGCCCTTCCGAGGCGCCTGCGGGGCTGGAGAGGTTCCCACCTCGGTCGGAGCAAGGCGTCAGGCAAGGCACCCCGGGACTC